CCACGGCAACCCCCCTCCCAAAGCCGACAGAGACGCCGTGCGGCGCTACGCAGGCTCGTCCATCAGCCCGCACGGCCGTCATACTCCCAATAGCTCCGCAGACACTGTTGTGCCCCCCAACAAGCGACCAATGAAACGTGGCCCAGGCAGAAGGTGCTGACCACGCCCTAGTGACAGGGCGGCCCCTCGGGCCAGCACACCGCCACGCTGCCACACATGTGGAGGATGCACAGCACAGATCCACGGGTGCAGTGCCCACAGGGGGGCGCCACGGGGACAGAGGTCAGAGTTCCAGCTGCAGCAACAGCAAGAGGTGGGGCGGGGGCTGTAGGCCACGGGAACTCACTGAGCCACCCAAGTACACGCCTGCAGTGGGGTCTGCACCGCAAAGACCTCATGGAATGTTGCATTTTAAGTTTTTTTTGCCATAGGACGCATACTCTCCTCGGAGAGAAACAGTGAGACAGAGAGAGGGAAGTGGGAAATCACCTCCTGGGGATGGCCACGCCACAATCCCTTCTCCTCCATCCTCCCCTTGGAGTTCTGGGCATGCCCACGCGTCTGGCGTGATTCTCAAGCTCGGGGGTTTGAGACTTAAACCACAGCTGGCCGCGTGGGGGTGCAGCGTCTTCACCAGCATGCTGCCTGCCGGCCCCAGCACTGCTGATTCTAAGCAGCAATACAAATCAAAGAAGGAGTAGATTAGGATGCACTCCGGAAGGGGCCAGCAGGTGGTGTAAGGGTTACATGCTGGACTCCTACAGAGTCAACCATGGTTCAAGTCCTGGACCCAACGGCCTGAAATTCCTGCCAGTTGCAAGAGGAGAATGGAGAAGGTATTGCAGTGTGGCCAGCCCCTCGGGGAACGACTTCTTGCTCTCTGTCTCTGTGTCTCCTCTAGTACACGTGCCCTACAGCAAAAAATCTTTAAGGAAAAAGACTTTGGAAGGAAAGGGCTCCCTACACAAAGAAAGCGTGAGCCCCTCTGCACTTCACATGGCACCAAACGGACACCAACTCACACACACGCCTGTGGGCCAGGCTGCAGGACACACACCGCCCCTCTAGCCACCCCACCCCGCACAAAGCAGATGCGGCCCAGAGGACCAGTCACCGTGCAGGTGCAGGAGGCTCTCGGTAACCCTGGGCAACAGGCACCCTTGGACCAACCCGCAGAGGGCGAGCCTCAGCATGGGAAAGGGAAGGACATCCCCCAGAACACACAGGAGTCCACCTGAGGGAGCTGCCACGGCCAGGGGGCGGGGCTCAGGAGACTCAGCTCACCGCTGGGGGCTAAGACCCCACACCCCGCCAGGGCCCTTCCCCACCAGGCGGCACTGTGCACAGGCAGGGTGGTGGGGGCGGGAGGCAGGTGCAGAAGGGCCAGGCTTCAGCGGGAAGGCCATGGTGCACCTGCCGGTAGGGACGAAGGCAGTGCGGTCACCTCTGCTGCATGCCTAGCGTGTGGATGCGCACACACCTGTAAGCACCAAGCACATGCATACATACCAAACACACATGTACGCATGTGCAGACCTGTGCGCACCGAGCAATCTGCACACACCAAGCAATCTGCACACACCACACAATGCACCAAGCAAACACATGTGCATATGCCAGACACACATTTGTATGCACTCACAGTGAACGCCATAAACCCACATCAACACACACTTACATGTGTGCACACGTATATGAAACCACATGATGCACCCGACATGTGCACACACGTACACATATTTAATGGACACCCCAACATACGCACGTACATGTGCACACACACAGAGATGCCCCCAACTCTGCAGAGGGTGGGGGCACCGGCCGCACATGCCCGGCTGGAAGGAGCACACCCGGCACCAGACGAAGGGACCGGCCCCCACAGAGGAGTGACTGTCCCTGCCCCTGGGAAGCAAGGAGCTCGGTGAAGGTTGCCGTCCCAGGAACGGGAGCCGGCTCTCGGGGCCTCCTGCTGGCCAGGCTGGGCACTGCAGATCACAAGGCACGGTGCCAGCACAGGGAAGGAGGCAGGGACGACAGACTGCAGACTAAGGCTGGCGAGACCAGCAGGCGAAGGTCGGGGTTCTAGTCCAAGAAAGCCCGTGCTGCTGAGCAGGCTGTGGGCGACGGCTTGGTGTCAGCATACGCGCTGAGTGGTCAGTGGCGGGCCAGCAGCAGGACCATGAGAAACAGCCCCACAGGGATGCTCTGGACTCACTGCAAGGCCGGCGGAGCAGACCCCAGGGGGAGGGCGCCCACAAGGCCAGTGCCGATCTGTCCCGGAGCCTGGGGACTGGCTGGGCCCGCGGGCGGGGGCCGCACTGGGAGAGGCAGACATCTGAGCCACAGGCCCCTGGTGCCTTGTGGTCCCCGCAAGGGGAAGGAGCAGAGATTTACTCCCAGCCTAAATTATTCACAAGAAAAGGGAATGCGCCTCTTTAACAAGCCATCGCTTTATGAAGCAAGGTTAACAATCTCACTTGATGCAGTGGAATATTACAAACTCTCTGGGGCCCATTCGAGGACTTCTACTTCAGGCGCAAGGAGACGACTCAGCACTTTTTATATTATTTAGAGAATAAAGTTAACCCTCCCAGGCCCAGGCTGCTGCTCTCCTCCCGGATCTGGCCCGCTCAGCGCTTTCCCATATATAATTACAAGCTGCTATCCATCACGCCACAGCCACGCAGCGCTGACACGCCGAAAGGGACGCAGTAAGCACTTCCACTAACGGCACTCTGATGCCTGCATCTGAACCAGAGTAGTTACAGTAATCGCCCCTGGCCAGACCCCGCCTCCCAGGAAGGGCTTCCCTTTTCTAGGTGACGTGCCACTCCTGGTCAGGCCCCAGGGCAGCACTGCTGCAGCCCTGGCCTGGAGGCAGGAGGGGCGGGCTGGCTCCAGGCACCTGCTGCCCGCTGCCCGGTGTTTCTCTTGGAAGTGGACGTCAGGTCACCTGGGAGGGGTGGACAGGATGGGAGGGAAGGTGCAGGAAGGGCCTGGCCAACTGTAGAGGGCTGCCTGGGGGAGAGGGAACTCCCTGGGGCCAGGCCTTGTGCCTCACCCCTGAGTAACAGCTCGCTCTCAAGGTGCCAGGACTGAAATTTCTCCAGCCCAGGGAGCAGCCACAGGTGGGAGGCTGGGGGGGTCTCCCAGACCCAGGGGCTGCTGGGAACACCAAGGCCCTGGCCCCCTCCAGCTCGCCCTATGTCTGCTGGGCAGCCGCAGCACTGGGGAGGAGGCCTCTGCACAGCTGGGCCGGGGCCAGCAAAGGCAGGGTGCACGGCTCCTGGGAGCCCACAAAGGCCCAGCCATACAACCTGCCACAGCTATGGCCCGGGGAGGGGAGAGGCACACGAGCCCTCGAGACCCCTGCCGCATACCTCGTATACCCTAGATACAGCTAGTTCACCCCAACCTTGCTGGGCCCTGCAGGGTGCCCCCTGGGCTCTGCCCAGCCTGCCCATTTCTGGCAGGCCCCCACCGCCACCTGCTGTGCCCTGTGGCCTCCAACACCCCATGGCCCACCGCCTCCCACCAGCCCGACCACTTGCTCTCGCCGCCAGGCCAGTGGATCAGTCTCAGTCACCCCTTGCCGCACCCACGGGCCCTCGGTCCCCCACCGGCCCTGGAGTGGTCTGCCTCTGGGCAAGTCCCAGGCCAGGGAGGCACCAGCCAGGTTGGTGGAAGGCCCAGTGCAGGGAGCTGCCCGCCCGCAGGCCACCTCACCTTTGCCCCCAGGGGGCAGTAGCCTCTGAGGAAGTCATGGCAGACCTCGGCCTTCCGGGACACGTACACGTGGCTGTAGGGGCAGTCGCTGCTGCTGCAGACCCCCTTCAGGAAGTAGGAGCACACGGGCATCTGGGGGGACAGGCAGTGAGGCTGGTGGCCATGCCTCGGGTCCACCTTCCCCCTGGGAGCAAGCATGCCCAGGGCCAGGTGCCAGCCACACAGGTGCACAGGGGACGGCAGTCTGCGGCTGCGGGAGCGGAGTACAGGGCCTGTCCGGGCAACCTGCCCCCGCCGTCCCAGCAGTGTGTGCGGAGCTGCTGCGGCTGAGGCCACCCTGTGTCCGGGGCCAGGAGCAGGGGGCAGCGGGTTCCAGAGCATGAACCCGGGGCTCGGTTTCCCTCAGCTGAGGGTGGGCAGGAGAGTAGGCCAGCAACCACCGGACACCCACCAGAGGGCTCTCCAACCACCCGAAATGTGGGCTCCAAGGGGCGGAAGTTGCCCTGTAGCAGGCTGGCACCATGGAGGTTGGCATGTCTACACTGTGCTTCCTGCTTACAGGCACCCAGGGCCAGCTACCGGCAGGGGCCTCAGGGTCCTGCTGCCCCCCAGAGGCTTTAAGAAGACACTTGGGGGGCAGGAAGGGGAGAGGTCAGAAGAGAGGCTGAGGCCCAGAGCAGCGGGCAGCTGAGAGGGAAGGCGGGAGAGGGTGGGAAACAAAGGGTGGTTTAACGAGCAGAGTTTATTTTTAATTGTCTTTTAACTGCAGCCGCAGAGGGGAGAGGGGCTGGCCGGAGGGGCTGGCGATGGAGCGGCAGAGAAGACTCCCTTAATGTGGTTTTTGATATAGAGCCCAAATTAGCTCTAATAAAAAGGGATAATAAAGCCGGCTCTCACACCCAGCGCAGCTCCTCCTGGCTGTCAGAGCGGCCGTTATCGAGAGGAAACTGCGCTCTCATTTCAATTAACCTTGTTTGCACCCCGCCACGTCCACACAAATAACAATAACATTAATTCAGGGCGCTGGTGCGGGGCATCCGCATTAGACAGCTTGGCACACGCACCGGCTTTGGAGCTGGAGCTAATGAACCCGCGCACGGTCTCCAAACTGCTCACCACAGACTTTCGAGGCTCTACCAGGGAGAAAACGCTGATCCCCCAAGTCCCTCAAGGAGAAAGCTGTCGCAGCGGCAGTACCGCCAGCTCGCAGCCCCACCTGGGCCGGTGGCCAACCAGCAGCTGCGGACACACGGCCTCGGACCCCGACCCCCGAACGCCAGCCCCTCTGGGCAGACGCG